TGTTAACCTAATTTTTGTGGAGAAAAGAAACCACGAAAAGAGAGATAATTTTCGGAGGTAAAGAAGAAGAAAAACAATTTCGTTAGGATTTTTTCAAAAAACGTTTGGAGGCTTACACGTGGTTCGAGTTAGTTGAAATTCTGTGGATAGTTTCGTGACTCAATAATCTTGAGATTCAACGGTGGAGAGAATTTGGGCATTGAAGATTTGTAAGAGAACTTTTCTGAAAAATTCATGCACTTGGTTTTCTTTAAAGTTAGATAGATAATGAGAGATGACGGTTTTGGTTTGAAAAAAAAAACACTTTGAATAATGCATTTGTTGATTGAAAGGATTGGGTGAATATGTTGATTTTCTTCCTACTACGAGAACTAATTGGATTTATTTAGGAAGAACTAAACTTGGGTCTATTACAATCATTGAGATTATTTTGGGCTTATTGTCATAAAGGAGTATATATATGTTACTTTGAACCTTATTTTTGTAGAGAAAAAGAAACCAAGAAAAGAAAAGCAATTTTTGAAAGTAAAGAATAAGAAAAACAGTTTTGTTAGAGTTTATTCAAAAAAACGTATGGAGGCTTAAACGTGCTCTGAATTAGTTGAAATTCTGTGGATAGCTTCGTTTTTCAGTAATCTTGAGATAACGGTGGAGATTGTGTTTCAACTGTTGGTTCATTGCAAATTGAAATTTATTGGGGCTGTTGCGAATTCAGATTTCAGTATGTGTTGGTTTGAGTGTTTGAAAAATCCGACGGTGAGTTTTTCTCGGATTGAGCTGAAATTTTTCACAGTTGTTCTTGATTTATTTTTCTAGACTTTGTACGGTAGAGATCTGATTGTTAACCGGGATCCTAGTGAATTTAGCGTCGTTTGGGACTATTTATTTGGCTCTTGTATTGCTCTGTTGCAGTGCTTTTTGGTGTTGGAAATTGTTGTTTAGAGTCTGAATCTTAAAGATCTGTTATGTGGGAACATGGAGTACGTGGTTGTAACTCATATTCATTTGATATAGTGGATTTTTTAGTGGACTAGAGTCACATAGTTTTTACTACTCACATCGAAGAAGTTTAACGCCATTGGAATATGTTGTTTTTTCCCCCAACATAATCGGTGTTGGCTGTTGAAAATGGAAAAGGGTCGTTGGTAGTGGAAACGGGGTAAAGTTTGCGTTAGTTTGTAGTAGTATCAAATCCATTTACAACACCAAAAGTTGTATTGAACATAATCCATTTTCACTGTTGTAATCTTCCGAAATGACAACACAACTGAACACGAATCACAATTCCACGAGATTTCGTAACAGATTACCAAAGCCTAACCTATATATTGCTACATATTTATCGGATAACAAACAACTTACAAAGAAGCAAAGAAGAAGATTTTCTCATACTCGTTAATTAAACCAAGAAAATCGTATGAATTTCCTTCAAATGACAGTAGCAAAGCCCAAACAAAATCCGCAACTATCATAACTTATTTGATGGATCAAACAAATGTTATTCCAAATTTACAAATGCAACAATTACAAAAATATGCTTGCACATCAATGAGACAGATTCAAGTAATAGTAAACAAATTCTCTTATGATTTCATATCAAAAATAAAATCTACATTATTAAGAACTTGGTCTTAATCTTGGTCCCTCGATTTCTCGACCTAAGAACTTCAAATCTCCATCAGATCAAATCAACATACACACACAACACAGTATACTATTACTATAATTATTTCGTTAATTTTCATAAAATTCTCGCTGATCTCCGGCGAGAAGAAGCCTCCGAGAGGCGGCGACTCCCGATTTCTTGTTCCGAACCTCTCGGAAGCCGGAATCCGACTCGTCGTGATACCATCCCACCGATCTCTGCGCCTCCTGCACGATCTGAGATATACCTGTATCCAAACAGCACCGATCGCACTGAGAAATCATAATCAATCGGAGAGAGAGAGAAAAACAAGAGAGAGTACCTTCTCTGACGGATTGTTTGTTGTGGCGGATATCGTGGATGGTGGCGGAGATCTTCCAGTAGAGAGGTCGACCAACGTAGAACAGAACCACCATTAAACCGATCACAATCACTGTACGGAACCAGATTCTCGTTGTCGGCAACGATGACGGAGACGCCATTGATCCTCACTCTTCCTTCTTTCCTGACAAGCGAGAAATATCAGAAAGAAGAAATTTCTTTTAAAAAAAAAAGAGAAAGATTTCGCCACGTCAGCTACACAAAATTCGAGAAGATGGCTCTTATGGTAAATGCGACTATCAAAATTTTATAACACCCTTTCTCTCAACACCAAACCTCTAAAACCAAAAAAAAAGTTATATAACCCTCTAACCTTTAATGAAATGGTAAATTACCAACGTACCCT